TTAGCCGTAGTCTGCAGTGAGGACCTGCGTCTGATGCTCCAGCTTCTCCGCTTCTGCCCAGCTGCAGGGGCAGCTGCTGGCCACCTGGGCTCAGCTCGACTGTCCCCCAAGCTGCACGGCACCTCATGTCCACAGGAAGAAAAGGTTCCGCACAGGAAGCCGCCCCCACAAGGCTGGTGAGCAGCAGGCCAGCCTGACTTCCTGTTCCCAGCCTAAGCCTGACACCTGGCTCATCATCCCAGGCCCCCGAGAGGAGCCCAGGCCGTCTGCAGGCCGGATGCACCGTGCTCCTCCCCTCCTGTGGCCGGGGTCCCTGGGCCTCCCCTCGCCTGGTTGAGGTTCTTGGTGGGGCCCTGGCACCTTCCTGACAGACGCCCTGGGCTCAGTGGTGCCCCCTGCTGTCAGTCCCTGCCCAGACGGGCCTGCCCTCACCTCTCCACCTCGGCCCTCTGGCTGGGGTTGGTGACAGCTGCGATGTACTGCATGATGTGTTTGCTGGCTTCCGTCTTCCCGGCCCCGCTCTCCCCTGCCAGACAGATGGACAGGCAGCATGAGAGGCCCCTCCCCCTGGGCCGGCTCCCTGTGGCTCCCTCACCTGGGGTACTCCAATCACCTCCCATCGCTCAGAAACGAAGATGTGGCCCCGGCGGGTACCTGAGATAACAATGCAGGTGTCCCTGGACCTCCGCTTCATCGCCCTATAGGCAGCGTTGGCCACGGCGTACAGGTGGGGCGGCCGCTCGTACAGCTCGCGGCCCTGGTACCTGGCGATGGCCTCGGGCCCGTAGAGGGGCAGCTCCTGGTAGGGGTTCACGGACACCAGCACCTCGCCAATGTAGGTGTAGATGCGGCCCTTCTGGAACCTGGCACAGGCAGGGCCCTCCTCAGCACTGGGCGCCCGCCTGGGTGCACACCCCGCTCCTGGGCCCTGCCCACCCTGGGGCTAGCTCGGAGAAGAGGGGCCATGGCCTTGAGTCTGCCCGGAGTCCACCCCAGCACGGCGCAGTGTTGGGGTCCACACTACTGTCTGCGGGGTCCTATTTTCTGAAGGGGCCGACTGGCCCAGGGCACACTGGGCCAGGCAGAGCCAGCAGGCAGGGCGGGTGGAAGCCAGACCGGGAGGGGCTGGCAGGCAGGGGCGGGGCCTCGGCTGTTTCCGGTCTCAGGGCCTAGGCGGGGACCTGGTGGCAGAAGGGGACCCCGCCCAGCCCCACCCAGAGGCAGGGTGCCGGGAGGGAGTCTGGGGGTAGCAGCTGCCCCTTCCTCCAGCGTATCCTGACTTTTCACCCCTTCCCTTCGGGAGCTGGGTCGCCCATGGGGGCGCCTGCCTCCCCCAGAGGAGCGCTGGCGAACCTGCTCCCCGGGTGTCTGGGAACTGCCTTTCCCCTGGCACATCAGGTTCCTCTTCCGCAGCTGCCTGACGAGGGAGTCCCCTGGCTACCCCTCTCAACTGCCACCCAGACCTGCTCCGAGACACTCTCTGTGCCCGCTGAGTGGCCTGGGCTCAGTGTGGGTCAGGATGAAGGTGTGTGTGACACCGTCTCATGAGCCGGTTTGTATGAATGAGGTACAGTCCTGCTCAGCTCAGCGCCCCCTACAAAACGGCTTGTTTCTGTCCAACAGTCTGCTCAGTGGTTGCCTTCTGCTCCCCCTGGCTGCCCAGGGGTGAGCTCACTCCTGACAGCCCCCCAGTTGCCGGGCAGCCTGGCTCCTCCCTGCCCTCTGCCCTCCTCCACTGAACTCGGCCCATGTCACTCTACCCGCTGTGCCCTGCAGCACCCACAAGCCCCCCGAGATGCATTCAGCTTCCTGCTTCCCCAAGAGCACCCAGGGCTCTGCTGGGCCATGTGGGAAATGGGGTGTCCACCCGTCTGGGTGCCGGTTTGGGTGCAGGGTAGAAAGGGCAAGAGCATCGGTGTGTGGGAGGCAGAGGTCTGGGGAGTCTGCCACCCTGCCCTGGAGAGACGTCCTGCCTGCCCGCCCAACCCCTGCAGCAGCCCAGACCCCAGACGGTGTCCGTGTCCGCAGCCCCCCACCGGGGACAGGGAGGGGTCAGGGCCCTGGGCCCACCTGAGCTTCAGGTTCTCCATGAAGTCTTCCATGGTCACTTGGTCCAAAAGCACAAAGTCCGCTTTGCCGCACTCGGGACCTTCCTCGTCCTCCATCCTGCCGCGGGAGCACCCAGGCCAGGCTACCAGACCAACCTCCCTGAGCAGAGGGCGGAGGGAGCAGGCCGGGCCCAGTCTTCCCTGCCGCCTCCCCGAGTGTGGTGAAGTAGGAAGTGGGTTCTGGTCCGGGGAGGGGCTGCCCTCCTGGGCGCCTTCCCTCCCGAGGGGCTCTGACCCCTGCTTCCTGGGCGGGCTGACGGTGCTCGCGAAGGGAGGGCTCCTTCTGGCCCGAGAAAGCCTCACCCTCTGATCTCTGCTCACCCTTCTCCCCAGCAGCCCGACGGGCCCTGCCACATGGGCGTCAGGCACCTGCAGGACCCAGGAGAGATTTCCTGGGGTGTTGCTCATTCCACCCATGTCTGTCGGCTCTCAGACCTCAGCACTCCTGGGCTGTAGGGTGGGTCCATGGCACCTTGACTAAAGTGAGGACACACCTATGCCCTGGTCTTTAGGGTAGGGGCTAGGCAGTCCTTCAAGTGTGGAGACCACACCAGGTGGGGAATGACCAAGCCAACTTCAGCTTCAGGGGGAGGGAGGAGGGAGGAGGGAGGAGGGAGGCCGGTGTCAAGGGGGAGAAAGAGGTCGGCCGTCTGACACTTTCCGCAATAAAGATAAATTAAATCCAACAAAGACAAAACCCCAGCCTCACATGGCACCTGCCCTGGGCTGCTCCGGGCCTGCATGCACCTGCCTCTGGACGTACTGGAGGCTCCTTCCTGTGCTCGGGTCCCTTCATAGTCAGGACCGGGAGCAGCTGGAAGTGGCTACGTTTTGTCCCCACACAGCATCCCTTGAGCACAGGTGTCCTCCCGCTGGGGCGGGCCGTTCTCTCCCACCCCTTCCCTCGCCTGGATGGACAGAACATTTCCCAGGTTCGAGTCATCTACATGCTGCCTTTGGGATTCTGCACTCTAAAGAGCTAGTGTAGCCGGGTCCGGTTTGGCTCAGCAGGTAGGGCAGAGCAGACTCCGACCAAGGGCACGAACCTCGAACCTCGGTTGCAGGCTCAGTCCCCAGCTGGGGTCTTGCAGAAGGGCAACAAAGTGATGAGTCTCTCACATCGATGCTTTTTCCTCCCCCCCCCCCACTGTCTCTATAAAACTAAATCAGTGGAAAATTATCCTCAGGTGAGGATTAACAACAAAAAGCTAGTTTATTTAACAACTGTCATTCAATCAACTCACTTTTTTTTTTTAAATCCTCACCCGAGGATATTTTTCCATTTATCTTCAGACAGCGGGAGAGAGAGAGACACATCAACTGGCTGCCTCCCACATGACCCTGACCAGGGCCAGGGACCGCACTGCAACTGAGGTACGTGCCCTTGACCGGAATCGAACCCACAACTCTTTGGTCCACGGGCCAAGGCTCTAACCACTGAGCCAAACTGGTCAGGGCAATCAACTCACTTTTTAAGCTCTGAAATAACTGTTTGATATGCAAAGGGTTTCCCTCCCCCAAATACCTTAAAACGAATACATATTTAGGAGAATTGAAAAGTGCCCATCGAAGCCCTGGGTGGTCTGGCTCAGCGGTTAGATGTTGGCCCGTGGACCAGAGTCCCGGGTTCGGTTTCTGCTAAGAGCATGTACCTCGGTTGCAGTTTGTCCCTGGCCCCAGTAGGGGTCACGTGGGTGGCAACCAGTTGCTGTCTCTCTCTTTTCCCCTCTCTTCCTTTCCTGCTCTATCTGAAGTTAGATGCAAAAATGTCCTCGGTTGAGGATTTAAAGAAAGTGCCCATTCGAGGCTAGTGAACCAGGCTGTGCTCCCTGGTACCGCTCCCCTCAGATCAGGGCTTTGGCCCACCCTGGGGTCCTCTCGGACGCACTGGAGTGGGTTCCCCTCCCAGACTCGGGATTCCCCCTGCCCACCTCTGGGCTGGTGTTTTGGAAGGGCTTTCCAAAGCAGAGCTCAGGGAAACCGGGGTTCTTTGCAAGCCAGTAACAGGGTTTCAGTTCCCCAAACTCCGGGGTCAACACGCCGGGCTGTAGGAACCCTCAAAAGGGCCAAGACTGCTCCACTGAAACGTCAGGGATAGTGAAACCTGAACTTGGCAGAACTTTTCATGTGTCATAAGTTTTCTTTGGGGTTTTTTCCCCCGTAAAAATGTCAAGACCTTTTGTGGCCGGGGACTCAGCTCTCAGGTCCTGGCTTTGGAAGCTGTTGCTGTGACCTTGAGCCTAACTGCTCTCCACCGGACAGCTAGCTGGCGTAGCAGGAGAGTCCCCACCCACCCACCCACCCCCTCATTTCTCTCCTGAGGCCGAGGTGACATCACACCGAAAATCATTTTGCTTCCTGGGTCTGGCTGGACCCGTGGCCGGCTGGTCAGCCCCAGCCTGGTCGCAGGGACAGGGGGCGGGGCGTCTCATCTGCACCAGTTTCCCATGCCTCCTCCTGCAGGGCCCCTCGCTGATACCTTCCACCTGGGTGGAACACCTCTGGTCCCCTACACAGCCGCACCCACTTCAGGTTCAACTCCCCTCAGCTCAAGGCTTGCGCACCGCAGTCCTTGGCAGCCTGTCCTCGGAAGGCACATAGGAACTGCGGAGACCACCTCCCATTCTCCCCGTCTGCCAGGAGGGTCCCCCACTCTTGGTTCTGAGGTGAGGCTTTCTGCCGAGGGCTCAGGATGTGGCTGATGACTCAGGTGGAGGGACCTCTGGGAGCTCGTGGGTTCCCTCCTCACCAGCAACCTGAGTGTGAAACTACTCGCCAGCACGGATGCCGCGGGCTCGCCCAGGGCTGTCAGAGATGCTGGTGCGTCCCTCCCTAGGGTGCTAGTCCACACGTGGGTCCCTGTGCAGATGCAGGACTCACCCCAGGATCTCAAGGCAACCCCCCCAGATCAGGTCTCCCCGAACACACCCATAGTTTACAAAGGCCTGAGGGGATGGGCAGCACTTCAACTGGCTCAAACCCCTTCAAGAAGGGCAGGGTCTTTCTCTGCTTGGTGCCGGGCATACGTAGGAGAGAAACAGGCTGGACCAAACCACACATTGAAAATCTGTTTATTAAATGTCCCTTGTTCTCATTCAGGAAATGTTAGAGGGGCTGGGGTCCTTGTTCTGGAAGCAGATGGAAGACAGAGGGTCAATCCTGGGGTCAGAGAATGTCAGTCAGATAGCAGGCCCTCAGCCACCGACACCTAGCGAAGAACCAGAAACTCCCGACTCCTGCAGAGAGGCTCCAATCCCCACAGGGCGACACAGGGTGGCCAGAAGGCAGCCACGTGCAGAAGGGTGCAGGGAGGTCTGGGACCGGACCAGAGACACGAGAGCAAAGGCCCTGGCTGGGCCCTGCAGCAGCCTCCCTGAGCGTGTGGCACAGCGGGCCCCACCTCTGCACGTCTAGTCCACCTGCAGAAACAAGGAGCGGGGAGCCCTGAGACCTGTGCAAAGCAGGGAGGTAAGCGTTCGGCTCGAGGCTGTTGTAAGTGCCAGCTGCCCGAGGGCAGTGACGACGGGCCCTGGGTCCGGCTCCTGGCCCCACTGGGCCTGAGCTGTGCGGTGCCCTTTCTAGGCCCACATCACTGACCAAAACCCCCAGGGGAAGGATGCAGTGGACTCTGAACCACAAAGGCCGCCACACATCTGACGTGGACTCTCCACTGCTCCAAGTCAGCCAGCCTTAGCGGGGCCCACTCACCTCACTTATACGAAAAGGCCAGAACAAGGGAATGACCCTGGCTGGTGTGGATCAGCAATTAGAGCATCAGCCCTCAGATCAAAGGGTTGTGGGTTCAATCCCGAGCCCCAATTGTGGCATGTGTGGGAAGCAAAAATCAATGTGTCTCTCACATGAACGATTCTCTCCCTCTGTCCCTCCCTCCCTCCCTGAACAAGCGGACGGTTTTGAATTTCTTGTTCCTGCATAGTCCCCACTACAGAGCCCAGGACCAGCCTGACAGCCACCGAAAGGAACCCCCTAGGGTCTCACCTAGCTGACACCCTGGGATTTCTGGGGCTGAAGCACTAGAGTGAGATCCTGTGCTGGAGCAGGGACACACAGCAGTCAGCTGGGGGGAAGCACCCCGAAGGGACGGGGAGGGTCTGACCCTGCCCCAAGCCTGCAGTGGACAAAGTAGCCCTGTGAGGTTCATGGACACTGCAGGGAGCCGCGAGCCCTCGACGACAGAGCTGGTTCTTCGCACCAGCAGCAGTCGGGCACAGCATCCCCACCAGCTCCAACTCCTACAGGGTGGCACGGGGCCAGCCAGAAGGCAGCCGCATGTGCACCCTGACTGCTCTGGAGGGAGGGGCTACCTCGCCCGTCCCAAGGCTGCCTTGAACAACCTTAAAAACATAGCCTGGGCCAAAGGATGAGACTCACAGACAAGTACGTGCGTCCGATGGCTGCTCTGCAGAGGCTGGTGTGTTCAGTGCACTTGGGCAGAAGAGATGAGTCCACTGGAAGCCTCAACCTGCGGGAGAGGTGTGGTGTGACCCAGCCCCAACTGACCACCATGCTGGCCACTCCTTCCACCCTGGCCCACCCCCGACTGCACCCAACAGCCAGTACAGCAAGCCAAGAATGCAGGGTGCTCCCTCCCACGCCTGAGGTCCACACCTCTCCCCCAGTCTGGGGGGCTGGCGGCCCAGCATCCATTCCCAACCTGCCAGTTTTCTGCTGGGTGAGCCTGGACGGGGAATCCTGACCCTGTCTCCTGCACTGGCTCTAACACCGCCCTGTGATGGTTCTCAGATCTAAACGAGGGGGAGGGGGCGGCACCACCCCTGCCGCACACCTTGTCCCAGACAGGCAGGCGCGAGCAGGGAGGCACTGCTCCCTGCCTTGGGCCTCGGCTCCACTGTGCAACACCGAGCCCTGCCCATGACCCGACCAGTGGTCTCCAGGGGGCGGTGCCAGCGGGGTCCTGGTGCACAGACCACCGGCAGAGCTGGGCAATCGGAGGCACCAACTTCACTGGGTGGACATGGCCAAGGCTGAACCAGAGGCCAGACAAAGGGCTGTCACGGCAGAGGCCCCGCTGCTGACCTCTGCACTTGCACCACCCTTGGAACACTCCAGGAGCAGCTGCTGGCACTCAGCAGGATCCAGGTCCAGCTTCTGCCCCGGGAGCCCAGCCCGGAGGGAACACACAGCGGGAGCAGAAGCCTCTGCCAGCTGTGCCCGAGCAGAGTCGCGGTCGGAGGAGCAGGCTGACAAGGTCTGGGTGCGGAAAGAGGACAGTGGGGTGAGGCTTCGGGAGGGCGGAGCCCTGGCTTCCTGGCAGGGCCTCAGGCCTGGAGTCTCCGCCACCGGTGGGACACAGACGAGGACTTCCAGGACCAAAGGGAAAAAGGATCCAAGATGTTTCTCCCCAGCTCCTTGTCTGTGGGGGTCACTGTGACCTCCACCTAAGGTCACCCTCTCTACATTACCCTCCCCAGGATCCAGTGATCACGCCCCCCTTCTTCCAGGAGTGTGTGCTTACCACTGGGGTTTCCTACACTCCGCTCCACCTCAGTCAACCATGCTGTTAGGAAACCCGCAGACCGCGCCAGCTGGAGGGTTCTGGTTCCCTGCTGGGACCGGACCAATACGACGACTTCCCCGATTTCTCAGTTGACGTAATCAGCCACACTGTGTGACAAGCAGTCCTGGCTCCGGGATCGGAGGCATGGGCAGACCAATGTGTCCCCATAGCCCCCTCCTACACATGAGGCCACTCTCTGCAAGCCTTCGGTCAGCTCCAGCCCACTGGCCAGCCTTCCAAGGTTCCCAGTCCAAGTGGCTCAAACCAGAGCCTCACTCCCCTAGGGAACCCCTCCTTTATGACTTCACCCACTGAAGTCACCTGGGAGACAAAGCTGAACGTTCCACCCCAGAGGACTCTGCAGTGTACACGAGGGCACCACTGGCCCACATCTCACAGGTGTGTAGAGGGCAGCCTCAGAGGCACTGGGTGCTCCTGCACCATGGATGATACGGCCATCCTCAAGCGACGAGGCTACATCATGGGAATAAATTTGGGAGAAGGCTCATATGCAAAAGTCAAATCCGCGTACTCCGAACGCCTGAAGTTCAACGTGGCGGTCAAGATCATCGATCGAAAGAAAGCCCCTGTAGATTTCTTGGAGAAATTCCTTCCCCGGGAAATTGATATTCTCATCACGCTAAACCACCGCTCCATTGTCAAGACCTATGAGATCTTCGAGACATCAGAGGGCAAGGTCTACATTGTCATGGAGCTCGGGGTCCAGGGAGACCTGCTCGAGTTCATCAAAACCCGGGGGGCCCTGCACGAAGATGACGCTCGCAGGAAGTTCCACCAGCTCGCCTCGGCCATCAAGTACTGCCATGACCTGGACATTGTGCACCGAGACCTCAAGTGTGAGAACCTTCTCCTCGACAAGGACTTCAATGTCAAACTGTCTGACTTCGGCTTCTCCAAGCGCTGCCTGCGGGATGACAGTGGCCAAGTGACCCTGAGCAGGACCTTTTGCGGGTCAGCAGCGTATGCAGCCCCCGAGGTGCTGCAGGGCATCCCCTACCAGCCCAAGATCTACGACATCTGGAGCCTGGGCGTGATCCTCTACATCATGGTCTGTGGCTCCATGCCCTACGATGACTCCAACATCAAGAAGATGCTGCGCGTCCAGAAGGAGCACCGCGTCAACTTCCCTCGCTCGAAGCACCTGACAAACGAGTGCAAGGACCTCATCTACCGCATGCTACAGCCCGATGTCAATCGGCGGCTGCACATCGATGAGATCCTCAGCCACTCCTGGGTGCAGCCCAAGGCCCGGAACGTGCTCTCTGCAGCCAACAATAAGGAGGTGGCGAGCCCCCAGGGCCCTGACCCCTCTCAGACCCCTGAGCCCAGCTCTGACAAGAAGTCTGTCAGCCACCTGGAGCCCCAGGGGGAGGCCCAGCCTGAGGTGATGCCAGAGCCAAAAGCCGAGGAGACGGTGCAAATGCAGGTCTCGCGGCAGCTGGACACCACGAGCCTCATCCTCACAGAGCAGCAGCCGAGCAGGGAGAATGTGGTGGACAGGGGCTCCCCGCAGCCCCCAGACACACACACCTAGTGAGCCTCTCGCACGGCCCAGGGCCCGCAGGGAACGAAGCAGAGCTCACAGCTTTGAGCAGAGCTCCAGAGAAGCCAAGGGATGCATGAAGGGAGACCACCCCAGATGAGCCACTATTTTTGTCAGTTTCTTTCCCCTCCCTTTGAACTTGGTAAACCCACGTGGTAAAGAAGCAATAAATCACTATATTAGTACATAAACCGGGTGCAGAATTAATAAGTTCCACACAGCAGCGCCCTCCTCTCCCAAGGGCACACAGAGCTCGGCTGCCACTGGCTCCGATGCAGAATTGAGCCTGTGGTTCTTAGGTTTGTCTGCTGGACACTCAGTCCCTCAGGACAGGGCCCTCCCTGTCCCTGCTTTCCATTCTTATTCCCTGCAGCCCGCCTGCCTACCTTCCTCCCACTCCCCTCGAGCTTCACTTTCAACGTTTGTAAGGCTGTCCAGGCCATGATAAGATAAAATTCGCAAGGGGCCTGGAACACAGCAAACACCCAGAAGCCCACAACAACTTCTGCAAAAACACGCATGCTCTGTCATCGGCACTCCAGTCCGGTAGCCACTCGCTCCATGTCGCTACCGAGCACCTGAAATGGGGGTCCGGTGAACGAAACACTGAATTTAACGTTTCACTTCCGTCTAACGCATGCGGCAAGTGGTTACCGTGGGACAGTGTAGACCCACACAGTGCCCAGCACACCGCACCGGGGAGGGAGCAAGTGACTGTACGAAATTTCTATAACCTTGCTCTGGATGCAGCACAGCAAGGCCTCAAACCATTCCCAAATGTTCTCGCAAGCACTGTAGGAATGCACAGGGTCACCCCAGACCCAAGCACGCTGGAGGCTTGCAGCTCGAGGCCCCGCCCCACCTGGAGCTGAGTTAGCCCACGTGGGTTTCTTCCAGCAGCACAGGTAACTGACTGCTGTCGGGAAGGAGCCCGGGGAGCGGCAGCCTCATGGAGACCGCGGTCCCTGCCGTCCCAGCACAGGACTTCCTGAACTTACCAGACCCCGGGGTTCTCAGTGTCGCCGCGTCACTGCACAAACGGTCTTCCTTCCACCTTCTTCGACAGGCCAGCGCGCACTGCGGACTGCAGGCCGGACACACGCGCAGGCTCGGAGCTGAGAGGCAGCACGCACAGCGCGGGTCACCGCGGGAGGCTGCGGAGGAGCGCGCTCGCCTCCGGCCGCCCCGGCCCGCCCCGGCCCGCAGAGCCTGGTTCTCGCCCGGGGCAGCCGCTCCGCGACCCCATCCCCAGCGCGCACTCCGCACCCGCAGGAGACCCTCCCCAGGCCAGCGCCCCACCGCGGGGCCACGACTCTTACCGGCCTCAGCGTCCGTCCAGCTCAGCCTGGGACCGTCGATGGACTCGGATGAAGACGGCGCCCGGGAGCGCGCCGCCGGCAGCCCATCGCGCCGCAACCGTCAGCCATGGCTGCCGCCACGCGCCGCGCGCCGCTGCTTGCGTCATCGCGCAGGCGGCCCGCAGCGCTCGCGGCGTCACGTGGCCCGCGTTCCGGGAGGTGACGTCACGGCGTTCCGGGCGAGGTCGGGAGCGCGGAGGCTGCGGGCCTCGGACTTCCTGGGGAAGACGGAGCCCAAGTCCAGGGCTCAGAGCGGCCGGGCGCGCACTCCGCACCCGCAGGAGACCCTGTGCCAGCGCGGGGCCCCGGGGCGGCCCGGAAGCGGCCTCGGGAGGCTCGGAGCGGGGGGCGGCCCGCCCGAGAAAGGATGTTGGTCCGCCCTGTGCCAAGGAGCTTTGCTTTCAGAATTCCAGTCTCTGCCCTTTTCAAGTGAACGCAAATCCCTAGGGACCCCACAGGCCCGCGGCCCTCGCACGGCCCGAGTGTTTCCCAAGGACCCGGCGCCCGCTCTGAGCACCCCGCAGAGCAGGGCTCGAGAGTGCGGGGCTGAGACGATGCACGGCAGCCGGCCTCGGACCTCGCGCTGAGAAAAACCAGCCGAAACGTTGGTTTGTTCAGTGTCGGTTTACACGGTCTGCGCTGCAAGGTGCTGACAGCTCGTAGTGGCGAGACGGCGGGCCTGCTCCGACCCATCTGCAGTGTGCTTCCGGGCAAACCACGCGACCCGCGCTGACAAGCTGCGTTTTATTCGGCTAGGTCTGGACCTGTGAGTTTGCAACCTGGGAACTTCCCGGGCGTAACCTGAAACTGGCTCCCGACAGGAGGGCAGGGAGACCATGAGAAGGAGGCCGACCACTGGGGTTGGAAGGCGGCGGGTTTAATAAACACCGGAACTAGTCCAGGAAGGCTCTCGCCTCCCCGCCGGCCCCGCCTCCCCGCCGGCCCCGCCTCCCCGCCGGCCCCGCCTCCCCGCCGGCCCCGCCTCCCCGCCGGCCCCGCCTCCCCGCCGGCCCCGCCTCCCCGCCGGCCCCGCCTCCCCGCCGGCCCCGCCTCCCCGCCGGCCCCGCCTCCCCGCCGGCCCCGCCTCCCCGCCGGCCCCGCCCTCCGTTTCCTGTCGGCCTGAGCGCGAGGCAGGCCGGGAACTTGGCTGTGGTAAAGATGGCGGCGAGATCGAACGCTGGAGCTGCTCCCGCGGCCCTGAGGGGCGGGGCGGGGCGGGCTCCATCTCGCCGCCCAGAAAGGTTGGGGGCGGGACGTGAGGGGGGCGGGGCCGCGCCCTGGGCCCGGAAGTGCGGGGTGTGGGGTGCGGACGGCCCCTGGCGGCCGCGGGCGGAGACGGCGGCAGCGCGGCGGGCGGGCCGCGGGGCCCGGGCGAGCATGTAGCGGTCGCGGGGGCGCGGGGCTCCCGGGGCGGGCCGGGCCGCGGGGACCGCTCGCGGCGACATGGAGGAGGAGGGCAAGAAGGGCAAGAAGGTGCGTCCTCCCGAGGGCCGGGCGGGGCGGAGGGGCCGGGGCTGGGGGCCCAGGAGGCTCCCGCGGGCCGTCTGCGGTCCGCCGGCGGGGACGCGGGGCCGGGGCAGGCGGTCTGGCCGGAGGTCCCGTGGGGGGCGCCGGGCGCACACGCCGGAGGGGAGCGCGGCGGGCGGCGGCGCCGGGTGGGCGGCGGGGCCCGCGGTGGGAGGAGGCGCGCCCGGGACAATGCCGCGAGGGGTCCTCGCCGGCCGGCGCGGCGGGGGAGGAAGAAGCCACGCCTTTCCGCCCCTTCCGGGCGGCGACTCCCCCGAACCCAGGCTCCCCACATGGCCTGCCCTGGGGCCATCGGCCGGGAGAGGAGCGGGCCCGGCTCAGGGGCCACCGAGTCCCAGGGCTGGGATCCTAGGCACCGCGGGTGGAGGCTTAATGGACGGACGCCTGCTGCCTGATGTCTTCAAGTTTGGGGCATCGAGGGAAACCAGACGCCGTGACCCACTGTCCAGCCCGCGCACGGCCGGCCCCCCGTTGTGTCTCTCTGGTCCGCGGGCGGTGCTCTAACCGCTGACCCACACCGGCCAGGGCCACTGTTGTGTGTCTGCCCAAGTGGCCAACTTCTGTGTCTGCGACCATCCGAGTGGTCGCAGTGACGTTTCGTTTCGCACTTGCATTTCGGACACAGTTCAAGGGCTCCTTCGCTTATGTGGTTTTTAAGATGTGGCTTTAATGACAGGGTAGAGTAGTTGATCAAGACGCTCCACCTTTTCAGGAGGCTGAGATAACCACGTGGGATAAGCTACCATGAAAATGAAAAATGGGTTTCAATGAGATGTGTCTCTTTCAAATACAGGCTTTATAACCGGCTAAGTGTCTTACCTCCCACTTTTGGTTTAGTGTGTGTGTGTGTGTGCGCGCGCGCGTGTGTGCACTTGCCTGTTTCAGTTAGAAACAGACCTTGATAAGCCTTCCGATCTTACATCAAAGCCAGCTGTGTCCTTCAGCTGAGTTACTCATCACCTGTCTTACAAGGTGCCCACTTTAAAAAGGTGCATTTGAAATGGAGTATAGGCAGGTCGTGTTCAGGGGCTTGCGGGGTGCTGCCTCTCTGACCTTGTTTGCTCATTTTGTGTCATGAGCACACACGTTCAGTGCAGTAACAGTTACCTACAAAGATGTTTAAATCTGGAAAATAGCCCAAGAAAGTGACTCAGCCTGAAGCGTTAGTCTGCAGAGGGATGCTGCCCACCACAAAGGAGAGCTGAGTTTAAGCTTTGTTCCAAAGCTGGTAGAACCAAGAAGAAATTGGGTCAGTTCCCTTCCCTGTCACAGAGAGCCAGGCAGGCCAGGGCCTGGCTCACAGCTCAGTCCCAGTAGAGCACAGACCTAGCCACAGTCTTCCACAGTCAGGCCAAACGCTCTTCCTACCTGCTAAGGAGAGTTGCTTAATTAGCACCCACCCAGAAAGGATGGGATTGACTGAATTTCTTCTAGAGCCTTCTACCAGCTTTGATAAAAACATTACACTATTTAGCAGTATTAAGAGAGAGAGAAACAGACATCCCTGAGCTTTTGAAATAGAAGTGAAAAACCAATACAACTCAAGAATTTCGGAGTTGAGGGCAATGGAAAGATTTAGGCTCAGAGAAGGTTACTGATGAATTTCACTGTCTATCAGAGGAGATTTATAGTCTCTATTAGAGGATACATAGTTGCTTTCGCCCGGAGTATGTGTTTTCTCTGTATTTTGCCACTGCCCCAGCTCATTTTCCCATAGGCGGTCACAGGGCTCTAGGACATGGATTCCTATCCAGGCCACCACTTAGCACACTTTACCTATTGCTCTGTGCCAGTCACGAGCCAGTGGAACCTTCCTGCTCTGCTCCCCCATTCCATGTCATTTTCATTGTGGTAAACTAACCAGAGACACCTATTCTAAAGTATACACACACGTTCAAACCGAAACAGTAGAACTAATGACTTAATAGTTTTATGAAAGTACAGTGGACTTTTAAATTCTCTTCCCAAGTTAGTAGCTTAAAAATGCAGATTTAGCTTGGCCAGTGTGGCTCAGTGGTTGAGCGTCGACCTGTACACCTAGAGGTCGCCCATTTGATTCCCGGTCAGGGCACATGCCCAGGTTGTGGGCCCGATCCCCAGTGGGGGGCGTGCAGGAGGTGACCAGTCGATATTCTCTCTCATCGATGTTTCTCTCTCTCCCTCTCCCTTTCTCTCTAAAGTCAATAAAGAAAAAAAAAATTTTTTTAATGCAGATTTAACTCTTTAAAAATGTGGATGTAGCTCTTATGGGTCTTTAGACACTTGTCTTGGTGCTTATCAAGCAGGTACTCAGGCTCGCTCTGACATGGCCTGCGTCCTCAGGAGAGGGAGTGGCAAGCTGCCAGAGCACCTGTAGAACCGAGGGGTTTCATATGGAGTGGCTCCGGTACAGTCCTTCCTTTCTGAGGCTGCCCTGGCACATAGGATGAAGGTGTCTTGAGGCCCTGCCCTGCACCATGGAAGGCGGTAGCTGATGGGGAAGCAGGAGGAGCCTGAGGGGGACGGGTGGCTGCTGGAGTGAGCCTGGGGACAGAAGTCTGCTGGGTGCCAGAGGCCTGGGCCCACTGGGGCCACTTCTGCCTGAAGGTTCCCAGAGTGACTGGTACCTTGCACACCACAAGTCCTGATTTAGGGTTTGGAGAATAAACCTGCCTCCTTACAAAACGAACCCAAGTTCTGTATGTTTGACACTATTCTGTCGGAATATAACTTCTTTCTGCAAGAAGCGTAGGTGTACACTTCAGCTGGATTGTGAGCGTTTTCCCGTAAACATTTGTCTCGGTGGAGGATTGCGGCCTGAGGGAAGTCACCACCAGGATCAGCCCTGTTCGGTCCCAGCTTCTGCTGCTGGTGCTGCTGTGGGGCTGCAGTCACCCCACCAGTGGTCAGGACTTCAACCTGAACAGTTACATATTTCTTTTTTCCCTACTGATTTTTAATTAATTACTTTTTTATTTATTAAATTTTTTTTTTTTACTTATTGATTTGAGAGAGAGAGAGAGTAAGGGAGAGGAAGAGAGAGGTAGAAACATCGGTGAGAGAGAACATTGATTGGCCACTTCCTGCATGCCCCTCACTGGGGATTTGGCCCACAACCTGGGCATGTGCCCTGACCAGGAATTGAACTGGTGACCTCTTGGTGCAGGGTCGACGCTCAACCACTGAGCCACACCAGCAGGGCTAATTAATTTATTTTTGTTACAGATGTTTTTCCTTTTTCCCCAACAGTTACATATTTCTACATTGATCTAGTTTATTGCATTCTTCAAATGAAAAAGAAAAGATGATAAGGTGCCCTGGGAATGCAGGGCTGGGTCGTAAATGGTAATGAGGACTTCCTATTAACTTTGTTGTACTTAATATTTGTGTCTTGTCCTGTTCTGGCTGATAGAGTCGGTGCTGAGATGTTACGGGGAAGTTACTCTACCTGTGAGAGTAGATAGCCGCAGGTGTGGCAGTGGGTGTTCCTTACTCATTATTCTGTCTGCTTTTGTGAGTTTCTGAGAATTTCCATACAAAGAGTGGGAAGAAA